TTTTAACTTTAGTACACAACTTACCTCAACTTCTGCTGTTGTAAAAATTTGTCAAGTTTTGGGCTCGTTGCTTGTGACTTCGTCCTGCGTCCTGCGTCCTGCGTTAGGGGAACTGCAACCTGCGCCCCTCTGTCTCGAGTGGTTCAATTTCAGAGTCGGCTATGCTGAAAGTTTCTGTTGCAGTTGCAACAAAGTTCGTTGCCGTAATTGATGCATTCAAAGGCGGCGGCATGCGAAAGGATCAAGGCGACAGCCGAAACTTTGTGTCCAGTCGGAGACGCACGTTTTGCAGGTGATAAATTTCGAAAAGACATTTTAATTGATTTCAGGTTTAGTTTTAATATTAAATGCCACACACACACGAACGGACATCGCCCGCACCTAACCCAACATTCGAATCGTGACAAAATTGCAATATGTGAGGTTTCAATTAAAAATTTAGGTTTTCCACGAGGGCGGGAACGAACACTTGATGTCATTGTTGCTGTTTGCCAAAATGGAGCAGCAGCAGCAGCAGGCTCAAGGAGCGTGTTGTGGTATTGCCACAGCACACAGAAAAGACAGAAAGTGGGCAGCAGGAGAACTAGTACATGACATGGCAGTGTGTGGAACGGAGGCTGCAACTCAAATACCCAAATTCGAAAAGACAAACGCCAGACGACAAATGGACAAGCGGAGGACACCAGGCAGGAGTAGGGTCTGGTGGGGATGGCGCATGAATAAATTTCCAAGCAGTTGAAATGTTGAACCGAGCGGCTTTTGCTTTGTTTTGGCGCCTCAGCTTATGCAACATAAAATGATCAGGACATGAGAAGCAGGCAGCAGGCAGCAGGCAGCAGGCAGCTGGCAGCAGGCCTCGGCAGCAGTTGCAACAGTCGTTGCTGCATGCGGTTTGCGGTGGCATTTTACTTGCTGCATAGTTTGCCGGCAAGCGGACGACTTGCGCTTGAGTTCGAGTTCGAGTTTGGTTTCAGCGTACGCTCAACTTGCGCTACAAAACCCACAAAAATAAAGCAAAGACGACAACGACGACGACAAAGTATGCCAACAATGCATAACTTTTTGCAGCTCCCAACTCTCTCTGTCAGTATGTATGTCTTTGAGTGTGTGTGTGCGAAAAATTAGAACCGCAAATCATTTTGAAAACAATGCATATGCCATGTCATATATGAGGCAGCCAAATGGCTAAAGACTTGCGTTACGCCCACTCCCAGCCCCTAGCGCTATGCTATCGCCAACTCAGTCTCAGTTCTAAAGCGCTCAAAATACATTTTGAAACTGCAATTTAAAGTGCAAGCCGAGACTGCAAACTGAGCACACGTTTCCCAATAGCTCGTCTTAAGTCTTGGCCCGTCAGCCTGGTTTTCCACATCCGTGCACGCAGGCTTGGCTTCTCACCTCCTACTTTCTCTACTACTTATTTGTTTATTAATTGAGCCTCATTATTTATTCAAAGTAAGATACTGAAAATCAGCACATCTTTCAATATATAGTTCTCCAATTACAATCAATTCCTTGAACCCTTTCTTGACAAGAGGCTAAGATGCATGCTTAATAAAATTTGGAGTTCAAAATGAAAGCTTCGATTTCTCGCTTTTTCTATCTGTTTTTTTCGCCAGTGTCCAAAACCCTGTCCTTATTCCTCTATTGACCTACTGTTTGAAATACACATATGTGTTTCCTTTGGGGCCAGATAAAATTGCACTGTTCAAATACACTACTTGGTAGTCGGATGACACCTACATCATTAGGTAAAAACTCGAATGGAAAAGAAAATGTCTGCGCATTGCACAGTCCAAAAATATAACTACACGTTATTTAAATAAATTTCCATATGCTTATATGCTCAGAATGCCTGAATTCGTTTCGATTTAAATAATTTATACAACTGTGATGGTAACATAATAAAGCTTACACAGCCACTCTTTATTTGAGCCCTATTAAAGGCCTTTCCATTAAGAAAAAAAGTGTTATCTAGGAATAAGTTTTAAACTAGCTTCATTCTATGTCGTTCCATATCACCCGACAAAGCCATTGGCTCCACATAATCTTACCTCCTTGGTTGGGCTCTTTAATGCCAACTTCATCTACTTTAGTCGCTTACCAAAAGCTCTTGAAATTACATTGACCTATAAGGATGGTTCCAAGACTCGACATCCATAGCATTCGGTATCAATTTGGAGAGTTTCTGTTGGGAAACTCCCATTCTATTATTAGTATATTATGGGCACTCGGACACTGTGTCAGACGCAGCAGCCAAGGACGCAAAAATTCCGACGTTAAAGATTCCAAATTAGTCTAAGATCTACTCTAATTTACCCGGCTCTACTCGGTTTTACGTGTAATGCAAAGAAACACCTTTTTAACAGCTATTCATCTACGCAATGCCAACCTTATAACTTTATAATATTGAGCTTATTTCCAAACTCCCCAGACGACAATTAAAACAGGAGAGCTTAAGGCCAAGTTGTCATAGCCCAAATAAATTTCAGCCCATGCTATAGTTGGTATAGATAAATAAAATATATATACACGCTGTTTGGATATTAAGTGAGACATATTCAACATTAAAGGCTAAGAAGGCGAGCCCAAAGCAAGCCTTTTACTTTTTACCGCGATTGCAGCTGTTGTTAATTAAATTGAACGACTTCTGTGAAATTTATATGCGCTCAATTTCAAGTTTTCGTTCGTTTAATATGGCTTAATTGCATATCCTGTTGATGGGCTCGTCTCTTGTGTCGCTGTACTATTAATTAAGACATTTACATTTCGAAATTTCTATCTTAATCAATACTGGTATCGATGTCGCCCACCCACTGTGCCCACTACGTGTCACTGACTTCTGAATTCGGGGTGTTCATAATCCGTATTTACTCGCTGTGTATAACGAGCAGCCTTTCACCCCTGCATTATGTATATGTACAAATATGGCACATTCAAGCATGCATATGTATGTAAATAATAGCTCAGTAACAGGGCCCGGCCCGCCCATGCCACACGACACATTCAGCATTCAGCATTCAGCATGCCCCATTCCCCGAGCCGTCTCGTTGCCTTGTTTGCAATTTAATATTCATTTTGAAAAGCCCATTTACATTTGCGCTTTTGTGGCACCTTTGCGTGTGCTTCACCCTTTTTTTCTGCACTCGCAGTGAGTGCTACGACCGGCAATGGCTATGGCAGCAGCAACGTCACCGAGCCTCGGACGCGCAACACGGCGTATGCGTAATCTAAGCAAAGCCTCTTGCTTTTGTTCAACTTAATTCAACCGCAAGGCAACCGACGACCGACAACCGACAACCGACAACCGGCAAACGGCAATCGGCAAACGGCTAACGGCTACCAGCTGCAGTTCATTCTATAAGTCCAAGCCGAAGCACGGGAATGTCAGTGTCCAACACAACCCACTTTCCACCTCCTGCATGGTGGCCAAAATGTGCAGCTGTTGATTTATAGACATAATATAGACGTCCATGCCTCAATTCGAGTGAAAGCCATCATCAAAGCTGTTCAGACTGTGCCGACTGGCAAATGGCGACCGTCGTCTGATGCGCCACGAACAGCTGCTGATTGCTGCTGCTGTTGCAACACAACTCCAGCCAACCTTATCCGAGTCCCTTTCGTTTGCACTTGGCTGACATTCGTCGTCAATGAAGCTGCAAGCGCCGGTGGTGTAGTGGCGAGCATGGTTGTATCCCAAGCAGCAGATCCGGGTTCGATTCCCGGCCGGCGCACGGCATGTGTGTCTATCAAGGACACGCATTTTTTTAAATAAAAATCTTTCGCAGTCTAAGGCAAAGACAAAGCCAATGTCACTCTGGTGGTAACTGGAAGCTCGTGATTGTGTATTTGGAGTGGAAATTCTGACGTTTCCTTTCTGCAACAAGTACTTTTCCACACCTAAATTGTTTTCGTGACAAAGAAAAGGTTAATATATAGATTAAATATAAAGAATATAGACAACTAGCTAAGTTGCCTGGTTAAACCAAAGTTAATATGAAGCAAATTAATTATGTATTTTGCCTGAGTAGAACTTTCAATTGAAATGTAATGTCATGTGTGAAATTGCTTTTAATTAACTAAATTTAGCTCACGTTAGGAGCCTCTCCTTAAGTTAAAAGTTTTACTTTCTCAGTCATAGTATTCTAACGATAGTCCAAGCATAAATCTAATCGTTATTCTATATTCAATCAATCGAAGCTATTACTCATGCCAATTACCTAGAAGTTCTGGTGAAGGCAAGTGGCTCTCGAGCAGTTTATATATGGTTTTATTGGTTTTCACTTGTTTTTTGTTTGGCTTGATTCTAACAGCGCGGAGTATAAATAATGTTACTATGCTTTCGTAAATGTCTTTCGCAGCCTGCAGTCTGATTCGGGCAAAGGGAGTTTGTTGTTTCAGTCACGACATCATCACGACAAGGTCAAAGGTTGGTCGCGTCAGTTTTATTTAGCTTTTTAAAGTGCATATGCTCTCCTATTAAGACTGACGGTTCTTAGACCCGAGTAGGTAACAGTATATGAGCAGATTGTAAGAAGTTGTTGCATTGCTTACAATAAAAAAGTGGCACGTGCAAATCAAGACACGAGTAAAGTGCAATTGACTGATTGGTTATCAATGCACACTCCAAAACTTAAGAGCTAGGAAGGTTAATATTTAGACGGGGTTTTGAAAAAAACCCAAAAAAAAATAACATTTTCCGAGATCTTAGATTTAATTCATTTAAAGGGTATTTCACATTGTTCAAAGTCACATGAACCCCTCCTTGGTTGAAATGGGGTCAAGCATTTGGTGGCTGAAATTTCGTGTTGCAACGGTTGCAACTGTTTTTTTTTTTTTACACTTTTAGCCAGTTTTGCAAATGTCAACCATCTTAAATGGAAGATGTGGATGAACGGTCCCTGACTCCAATTTTTGGCCCCCCATGGACTTCGAACTCATTTTCAAAATGCTCAAAATAAATGGAACGGGAAACAGATGGAGAATAGATGTAGAAAATGTAAAGAAGTTAGCTAGCTGCGCTTTATTTTGGGATTTTATTATTCAAGCCCGAGTTAAATGGTTTGTTATTGTCAATATTGTCAAATTTCCCAAATGGAAGTGTTAGGAAAAATTTCAGCTTCGTTCGGCTAGTCAGGACAAACACATTTATAGATATAGATGGTCAGCTAATAAAATTGAGCAATGTTAGGGCTGAAAGCTCATTAACTAAATGTGCTTACTTATTTCCCCCATAAAGGGCGATTCCCCTCGCTGGTTTGGAGAATGTTGAGATGTACTTTATAGGTACGCCTCATCATAAAACGTATGAAGCCCTCGATAAGCATATGGCAGCCCTCGAATGCAATTTGCCAGCGGAGCTGCGGAGCAGAATGGGCCAAAAGGTTAGCAGTCCGTGCGGCCACAACCGCCGACATTTCAACGAGGCTAACAAAGCGTCGACTAGCGGAAACTGGTAAAGTCGCGTTTCTGCTGCCAGTCCAGAACAGGAAACCACGCGTTCTCCACTGAATGCAAAGTCCTGGCACAAATGCGAACGAACTCAATTCAAAGGCGACCATTCAGATAGTAAAAAAAAAAAAAAAACAGGAAAAAGAAAATATGAACTGAACTTTGCTTTTGAGTGTGCGCGTGCGTGTAAGTCAGACTATGTATTTGGGCTAAACTAATGAAATGATTCGTGGAAGCCGGTGGCTAACAATCCCATCCATGCCAGCATCCAGATTCATTGGCAGCAGCCAACGATCCAAGGCCCAATCTGAAAGCCCACCTCAGCTGCGCTGACGGCTATACTCGCGCCGGAGTCGATGGCCGTAGGTGTGCGCGCAGAGGCGAAAGGAGTCTAGGTATCGATCCATGCACAGATGGATGCAGCTCTGCTCCGGTCCGCTCAAGTGGTCGCGCGGCTTTGTCACGCATTTCTCGAAACACTTGCAGGTGACAGTGGCTAACAGCTCCTGGACATTGGCCAGCGCAATTTGTTGCTTCAGCTGGCTCATTAGCTCCTTTGGTTCTATATTGGATCCACGTTCCATTTTCCCTTTTTCTACTCTCTCGGTCTCGGTCTCGGTCTCGGACTCGCTCCGCTAACTCTCATTTAACTAAAATTTATTTCTTTGGTTCTGCGCTCGAACCGATTTTGAATATGTCCTGAGTAAAATTACATACCATTTAGACATAGCTAGCTTTGTCATATCGAAACCATTTACTCAGCCTGAAACTACACTCAAAGGCTGCTCCTTGTGAAGATTGACCCTGTTTCGGCTGCTGGGGAAGGTGTTTCTTTAGCTCCGTTTGCAATCGGTTCGCGTAGCTAGGAGTCATCTATCTACATGTGTCCATATGGCAAACAATACTTACCATGATGGAACTCGAGCGATTGGCTGAGAGCCGCACGCACGACAGCCATTCACTGGGCTCATGCTTACAGATGGTAAACTAAGCACACAGCCAGAGTGTTCCACATCTTGATGGTCTGCTCCTAAATGCCTGACATGATCTGACGGCAATCAGCCGAGAAGGCAACCGAGAGTACGTATTTGGTGTGTCGCCCGACGAGTGGCCTTGCCGGCAGCCAAATCCCACTGGCGTAGAGTCTGATCCCTACAGCCGGACAGAGCGTAGTTGTTATCGGACAAAAGCACAGCATTGCTGATGACGGATGAATGACAGTACAAACGCTTCTGGGAATAGCCGTCAATTAACAGACAACCAAAGTCTTCTCACGCGATGCCGAATGATGGTATCAGGAACCTTGGGGTTGCTGGCTGACCCAGCCATTCGTCGCATGTAGTTGAACCAATTTACCAATAACTTTTCTCCTTTTCGTTCAGAAAAGTGTGCATTGAATTTAAGTTTGTTTTCAAATATCATTTGTTCAAGTATTTTTCGCAGCAAGGGCTTCTAAAAACTTCGTCAATCAAGCTGTGACTCACAACTGAGATTCGCTTCTAAATTAAAAGCTCCAGAATGTACTGAAACTTCTGCATAAAACGACATTCATACTCAAATTGGGACATTCATAGTCAAAACTGCAGTCATCATCAATGCACATTTCTAGATAAACCATTTTTTCGTAGACCTTGCATTGTTTAGAACTCACTTCAAAGAGCTCTCTTGCTCTACGGTCAACCCTACCGGATAAACTTTTTATGTAAGCAAAACTAAAACCTTTCTCCAGAGAATGAAGGGCTTTCTTCGGCACGCCCTAGATTTAATACCCTGGCAAATCGAACCTTTTGATAATGCCCCCATTTTCGACCGATTGTTCCTATGGTAGCTATATTATGTAGTTATCCGATCCAGCTGATTTCGACAGACATACATGGCTATATCGACTCAGCTGTTGATACTAAAAGAAACGTGTACCCTAGAATAAGAATTGCAAAAATTGGTGACCTGAGTACCCTGACTTAAAATAGATATTTGCCGAAAGAACACAATTATATATTAATTGTTAAAGTTATTAGTTTTAACATTTAACATTCATAATTTGTTTTGCATATATGACCTGTGTCTGAATACCACAGTAGTCTCTGAGATTGGTTCTCCTTTAGATGCCGTATATTGAATCTAATAAGCTGTAAGCTCGGTTCCACTTTGACTAGCTCTCGTAGTGGGCAGCATAAATAGGCTTTGGTCGATCTGATAAGCACTGACCCTTCTTTATCCGTTATCAGTTTGGCAGTAAGTTCAGCAAGTTCTGCATTTAATGTACGCACGTCCTTATAGCCCCCCTCTAAGAAGAGCAACTGCAATTAAGAAAAAGTAATTAAGAATGTTACGAGCTGTGTGAATAAACTTTTACCGAACTCTTGCGCTTGAAAAATGTCTTGGCAAATCTAATCCAAGCAGATCTAATCAAAGCAACCCAGTTACGTCCAGAAATACGTATATTGTCGCTCGAACATTCAGTTCACAGAAGTATGTTTCGCACTTTCTTCTTCGGGACTTCGTTGCTTACTTGGTGCAAGGGCTCGCCAGAGGATATCAGCTTTGCTAATGGTCGAATACCCGTAGTTGAAAGGGTACGAAGCCCAAGATAGAAGGTACAGATAGTTGACATGCTGGCGTTTACAATTCTCAACCAGTTAACGTTTCGTAAGGGGGACAATGCGTAGCTATATAGACAAACGACCCGTTTTTTTTTTGGTGTTAATTCCTTGTTATTTGTTGGTTGGTTAGTATTCATATAAAAAAAGTAACCAACATTGACCGGTAAAGTATAGTGTTTTAGCTTTCTAGGGAAGTTCTACTTAGGTCCATGAAGAACAATTGCATCCCATGGGTGCATTTTGCTTCATATGCTTGTCAGCTCACAGATGAGCCATTTCGTCCACTGTCAGTATCTGCTACGGCGTGTAATTAGAAAGCAGGAGCAGTAACTGAAGATGGAACTGGCCCTGAAGCCGGTTGCACACAAAACCTGATATATGCACTCACAAAGTCATATGTACTTAGCTCTGAAATCGCAGCTGTTGACAGCAGCTGCACACAGGACTCTCAGGGCTGTCTGGATTGTAATGCGTATACAGTTTAAGCCTCCTTCCCTAGCTGCCAAAATACTTGCGCCTGGGCAACTGCTGGTAACATGTTTGTCGGGCCAGCTTTAAGCCGCCCACGAAATTGTGGCGATTTCAGGCCCTCAATTGAGATTTGTTTAGTGCTTTAATGCAGGAAATTCAGATGGTAAAAAGCACCTACTGTCACGTTTTATATTGATATTTAAAAAACAACCAACAACTAACAACCAACAACCAACTACCAACAACTAACAACAAATGGCTGAACAAATTTCTGCGCATTTCCCATTTGCCAGCGCCGCTCGCGCTGTACGTGCCACAACGAGAGTCGAGTGAGAAGCGAGCAGCGAAAGGCAGGGAGGCAGGGAGGCAGGGAGGCAGGGAGGCGGAGAGGCGGGCGGCCCCTAACCCATTGGCAGGCGGATGCAGGCGGCCACGTACCAATGGAAATGGCATTGGCAACGCCAAAGCCAGCGATACGGCACGGAAATTGCAATTGAGTGCAAATTGCTGGATTCGGGAGCTGGCGGTGCGACGGGCAGGCTCGGTCCGAGGCGGGGGCTATAACATCAAAGAGCAGCGAAGAAGTTTTCAGCCTGAGTGGGTCAACAGATTGAAGTAGCTTTGTTTTTACCTTTGCCTTCAACTCGACATCGAAGCTTAAGGAACGGCCAATGCCTACATATTTCATAAGTTGCAGCTCGTAACTCGAGCGGCGAATAAATAAATCTGCCTGAGATTTCCGTGCTTGGGACAGGCTGGGCCGTTACGTATGAATGGCTCCTAGTGGGCCCAGAGGAGGCGTTTTTAATCCGTCGGTGGGCAGCTTTAAGAAGCATTCCCGCTTCTGGTAAATGGTAAACAATTGGCTGCCTACCACGCCCACGCACAGCGGCAGGCAGACCTCAATTAATGCCACGTCTTATCCTGGACCCGGCCTGCTGGCTGCTCCTTCTGCCCTGGTCATTGGCTGCGCTTTGCTTGCTCTCATTTTTAACGTTTCTGAGACGGTGCGAGACGACGTTTCGATTGTCACGTTCGGTCAGTCAACTTCAAATTAACTTGCTCAAAAATACGCGAACAATCTTGCTCTCATATTTAGGCAATCAATGAAAAGTTACAATTGCAAGAAGAATTCTCATTGACGAAAAAAAGTGTTTCTTTAACGACTTGCTAACATTTTAGCCCGGCACGGGGTATTTTCTATTTTATCTTATCTATTTGAGTAAGAGGTATCTGATCGTCTAGGTCTCCCCGCTAGAACACTCACTTGGCTTTTTAAATATCGCTTGAATAGTGAAAAGAGCATATTGGTCAAAGATTAACAAAGAGTTCCTACAAAGATCGATCCAAAAATGCCTCCAAAATAAGTTTTGGCCTCTTTTGGCTTTAATTGGACTTTGATCCACAATTACTCAGTCAGTTGCAGCCAACTGCAACATTTTTATTTAGTTTTTGATTAATTTTAAGAAATATACATTTATCTTACCTAATTGTTTTGGACTTTACTATTAAAATATTTATGCTACTAAAAGTCAAGGATGTCGACTGTGTCAAGTGCTTCTGCAACCCGATTAAAAATAAATTGCATATCAAACTGCACAAGGCGTTTTTTCTCGAATGGCTTTGAGCATTTTAATTGGAATTTAAGACGAAGTCACACAAATTAAATGAAAATTCAACAATATTAAATCCTCAAATACTCACACGACTGACTACATACATATTTATTTATACACAAATTTACGTGGATTGTGAATTGCAATTTGTTTTCCTTGTCATAATTTCGATGTCAGTTGATTTATAATTCTATAACATTTAAATGAAAAGAGACTTTGTTGCAGGCAACATGATTATATGGAAAGAGACCTTAATTAATATGTACTTCAAAGGCTGCGAAAAATATTCCGAACTTGTCATTGCTGGACGAGCGATTATCTTCCATGTGGATTTTTTGTGACAACAATTAACAATAACAGCAAATTGTAAGACAAATTATTATGATTCACAAGGAGTCTACGCTAAACGTTTTTCAATTTATTATAGGCTCTACAACAGTATTATATATTTTGGAAGATTCATTCATTTAAGAAAACTCATACGCACGAGTACTCATTCAAGGAATAATATTATTGGTAAGTAGTCTGCCAAAATAAATGTCTGTCTGTCAGCTGTCTGGCTCATGATGATGCAATTCACACTTATTGGAAAAGCCACTTCCATAAGTGGAAACAAGTTGTCAAACATAGAATGAGAAAAGGTTTAATTCTCATTTGATCGGCTCAACGCATATTTTCAATGATTAACATTATAAAATTTAGGGCACGTACTTTGCCGACTTTGGAAAATCCATCCCGTAGTTCGAAAATGGGCGCATTATTTTGTTTTATGTAGCTGAATTTTCTAAAATGTGTGAAAAATGTCTATGCGAGGATTGTATACAAAATAGAGCAGATGCATACACTCATTCAGGAGAAATTGGCCACAGTACGGTGTTTCCTTGTGTGTGTGCCTATGTTAATGCAGCAATACCTGTAAATGACAAGCAAAGGCTTTAAATCCGTTAATTAAAATCAGCTCAAAAACCACATAAGAGGCTTCGAATGCGGAATTGAACTGAACTAAACTGAGCCAAATGAATGCGTAGAGTAGCAATCGGAGACTCAAAGCAAACAGTCCCAGCACAGCATGCTTGGGCCCAGGGCATTAATATTGTCGGACTGACTCGGACACATGCAGCGCGTCAATTATGCGGGCTCACAAACACAAGGCATACGCACACACACACACATGCACACATATACATATACACAGAAGCGAATGCTCAGGTAAACAGGCTGCACTTTAAAGCAAACACAGAACAACACTGCCCAATCTTGCTGTGTAATGGGCACTCCTCCACACGATACCAAACCGGAAATCCAAACTCCAAGTGTGCCCAAATTTCATCAGGCATAGGCATTTGCTACAAACCTACAAATGTCCCGTACATCTCATCAGTTTAAGCTGTATCTGTGCATATGTGCGTATGTGTGTGTATGTGTATGTGTGAATGTGCGTGTGTGTGTGTGTGTGTGGGTGTGTAATGGCTGCTTGTCGAAGTGCCTGTAAATGTCATGGACAGGCACACATGGAAAAATATTTTAATAACTACTCGCACTCCATTTGCCGACCAAACGTTTTCATTAGCCAACAAAAAGAGCAGCGCCAGAGCGAGAGGGAAAACGGGAGATATAGGGAAAGAGAAAGAGAGCAGTTAGGGGGAATAATAACAATCGATTGTGTGCAGAAAGTGTTTGTTGTATCCTATACCCTGTACCCTGTAAGCCACATGGGTCATATCAATTTTATACATTTTACTTTTATCTAAATGTCAAAAGCGCTGCAATGACAGCTGCGGTTTATCCTGCAGCTAAGGCACATGACAACTTTAAATTTAATTGAATGCATAGTGAACAAGCAAGTTTTGTCCATCCGCAGCTGGATGCTGAATCGAAAGTCGTACCCATTTTCAGTCACAAAATGTTGATTGACTTAATGAAAAAATGCAGTCCAATTTGCAATGAGGAATACATTAATATTGCTAAAATCTGTATTCCTATATTGGCTTCCAATTTATTTTTGAAAATTGAGAATGAACACTTTTCAAATGTTAAGTAAAGTTGTATTTAAATTACATTTATTTTCGAGGCTTTTTATTGGAAAAAACAAAACGAAAGCAAATTAAGCTAAATAAGTTCAGAGCCTATCAAACTGTTTGTGTGAAACATAAGATTAAACTTTCCTACTTAGAGTTACTTAGTTGCTTAGTCTAGTATACATAAAGTCTAAAATATGGTCTAGCACAGAGTAAAAGTGTTTTAAAGGAATTAGCTGCATTTTAAACTGTCCTATCGTTATCCACAGCGTTGTAGTCATTGTCATCGACAACATTATCATCATCCTCTTCATTATGGTCATCATCATTGTAATCGTCAGGCGGGAGACAGTGCAAAGTCCAAACAACATTGTTATTATTTTTAAAAGCGATTTTCGCGTGCTATACGCAGCTGTGCTCGTTAAAAGCACAAACAAATGCCAGGTCCAACAGCATCCCCCAGCTGGATGTTTCATTGGATTGGAAAAGCACAGGCCCCTCCCATCCCCGTTGCCCTGTTGCCGGTCACACACATGAACATGGACAGCAGTTAGGTCGCGATGTAAGTCATTTATTGAAAATCCACCGCAGTGGGCAGACGGGTTATCGATAAGGATGAGGAGAATATTCGGGCGAAATGGGATCGGCGGTAGGCGGGGGACGGGCAAGTATGACAAACAATAGCCAAATGGCTTTTTCCTACAACAACAATTTTTCAATATGCTCCCAACCAAAAATGACCAAAAGAGTTGGCAGGCCAGAATGATGCGGAAAATGTGTTGCTCATGCGAGGTGGCGGAAAAGCGGCTGACGGAAATCGAAGGTTCAGCCATATGTGGCTGTTGTTGTTTTCATGTTGTTCCTCTTGTTGTAGTTGTTGTTGTTGTTGTTATTGTTATTATCGTTGTTGTTGTACTCGTTATTGTTTTTATTATTCCGCATTGTGTGCGTTGCCGAAGCCGAGGCCGAGACCGAGACCGAGACCGAGGCCAGGGCCAACACGCTGCCGGCCAAGGCTAAGGAACATTCGTTGGTCGATTGTCGCTGCCATTAAGTGAGCATAAATGTGACAACAACAACTGGAACAACACCAGCAACTCCAACAGCAACAACAACAACAATAACCAAAAGCAGTGGAAGGCACAAACAAGGCTGCGCCTGGCCCCGATCCTGTCCAGCTCGCTGAATGTTTGTTTATCCATATTCCGCTTCTCTGTCCCACCCAGTACTCTGTCCCTCTTTTCAACCTCGCCCCTCTACAGTCCGTCTGTGTTTGCCGGATTCTGTTTCAGCTGCTGCTCGCTGCGAGAGACCTTTAAATAAAAATTGTCTGAAAATAAACTTTAATTTGTGACATTGGCCAGTAGAGATGGGTGCAACGGCCAAAAGGAATACAAATGGGTGTGGGAATGGAATGTGAATCGGAATCGGAATGGAAATGGAAATGAAAATGGGATTGATGTCAATTGTATGCATGCACATACATACACACATACGTCCGATAACGATAACGATATTGTGACACATTTGAATATTGGATCTCATCTGAAATGGATGACATTTGTTATTCGATTTCGATTCGATTCGATTCTATTCGATTTAATGGCTTCAGCAGCCACAACGCAATTGTCAGAACGAGAATGCGTTAAGAGTTCTGAATGCATTTTCATTTCGTCACGTAATGCGTATTTAATTTACTCTTACGTTATACGTTACGTTGCATAGACAACTGAAATACACTGATATTTTGACATATTTTACTGCACTTTTGAAAGAGTCAGGTGGGAGTACTCTTCTAATCTTGTCAGCAACTTGGCATACATGCCAATAAGCCCAGGACCAAGTGTTATGGAATCTCTAGAGGAGCTCAATCAAGTGTCTGTATGTGCATATGAATGTGCCCATTACAGAACATACGTAATAAGAAATTTGACTTAAGACAAATAATATGTCGTTGTGAATAATGTGCTGTTTAATAGAGTGGATGAGGCATGACTGGAATTGCTTGGGATAACACAGCACATTATATTTTAACATGGGAGTGAGAATTAAAAAAACATCAAGTTGTGTCGGATAGTGACATATTTAGCTTACTCGGAGAATGTCCAGCCTATCGACAAATATATTCTATATTTTGATGCTATTATTGCTCAATTTGTTAAAGTTTACTCTGAGACAGAGCTAGAGAAAGAGAGAGTGAGAGAGCGCGCGAGTGCGAAAGAGAGGGTGAGAAACTTAAACACATTGCATGCATAAGTGCAGTTTGCATTTATGATGCACATTCATTCGTATGTAAATCAAATAAATTCACTATTATATTCCATTATATGCAGCCCTCGGATGTTCCACTGGCAGGGGGTAGGGGGTAGCTCCAGGGGCAGGCGCACAATTGCGCTTTGCATTTTGCGTGCCACACACAATGGCAAAAGTTAAAGCCACCAAAGACGAAAAGTTGCCTGCACACGAACGTGCAGGAATTGAAGAAAAAGCACATTAAACATAATCATGGACACATAAATATCCTAGCAGCTCGTCCTGGCTCGGAAGCGTTATTGATATTTGATTAAAGGCAACAGCAGCAGAGCCAGCAACAGCCAAAGTTTGCATAGCAAGCAACGTGCACTTCTGCCCAGCAAACGTGCAAACGTGCATACTCGCACACACCCGCACACACACACACACCCGCACACACCCAAACACCAACAAACTGGCTAGAGCCATGCACATTTCGTTGCACTGATGAATCAATAAAATGCCTGGCACCCAATGAAATCAATAAGTGCGTAAAAACAGCGCATGGCATAGGTATGAAGCATTCAAAGTAAATAATCATACTGTTAAAGCTCCCCAGCTTTAATAACCAACTAAGATTGCTCTAGTCAGGAGTGCGCTGAGCTGACGTCACAAAAATATTCTAGCTTCCTCCAATACTCAGTTTACGCTGCGGCTGCGCTGCATCTTCTTTTAGGAAATTCTATCGTGATTTAACTCGATGTTTGTTGTCCGATCTTAATGAAATTTAGGCAAAGCTAAGGGCAAGTACTTTAGCAAAGCCAAGGACTATATATCTAAAACAAGGTATCCGAAAAGTTTAGCATTGAATATAGCGAAGTTTGTGTTTCCCGGTCTTATCAATTGAGCGATTTGCTCAAAATGCAGGACTTTGTTTTCATTTCTAGCAATTTCATGGAAACGGGCTAGCGACAACTTAAGATCGAAACATATGAACTGAGCAAGAATATATGTATATACATACTTCGTTCCTCTGATTTTTGTATACATTTACACATAACAATTATACTTGTTTTAATTTGGCATACTAAAGATCTGATTTTTCTATGTCAGCTAAAACTAAGAAAACAACAAGTTAGATTGGCCCAGTCGGAGTTGACCAACTCTGAGTTTCCTTTTATAAATGCAAAATGAATTTATTCCAATCTCTATACGACTGATATTTCGAAGAAGATATCGCAACTCTAATAAACTCTTTCAGCATATGGTGTTCGAGAAACTATGGAGCCGGAGATGCTTCATGATTATAGAAAATTAGCATCATTTGCAAATGGCTTGGGGTATACTTTCACCTGGGTATTTTCGTTTTCAAGGCAGGTAGAAAAACTAAAAATTATAATTTAATTGAATTTATCTCCTATGCGATTGTTTGAAATCCAATTCGAATTAACCAGCGACCCTTAAGTATGGGTCAAATCAAAGATGAATGTTCAATTTTAATTGGGTTATTGCTTCCGTTTGCTTTTCTAGATTAAAATGCGTGCACGTTGAAATTTTAAAATGTTATGAATTTGATTGAAACGCCAAATTTAAAAACTGCATTTTTATAATTTCCCAAATTATTAACAGCATGCGTGGGCTATCGCAATCGTGTATTGAGAGAAATGTGAATTTTAAAATTTGCTTCCTCGTTTTAAGATACGCTTAATTTGCTTAGACTAGATAAATTGCCAATTGCTTGATTTTGTAATTCATGAGCTTTTTTTTAATGTTCTTTATTATGATTTACCTGTATGCGACACTCTTTATCCTGCCTCAAAAATTCGCAACATATTTTTAAATAACGCAACGCAATAAATTGTAATTCCCACATACTTAATAATTATATTCGAATTGGCAGTGAAATATTTTAAGGTATCGAAAAGGAGCCGATTTTTGGCGAGAATTAAACCTTATGTTCCCACATATATACGAGTAGATATGCACGTACATATTTGCAATATGCGAGTATGTATTCCCGTGTGAAACACCCACATTTGCAACTACATTTGTATCTGACAATACCGCTGCATATGTATCTGTGTGTGCATATGTATCTGTGTGTGCACAGCCCGCAGGCATTTAAATACATATGCGCGTCCATTGCAAGCGAATCCTTTGCATAGTAGTCGTAAATAAAATTTGCCTCTGTCAAGCGCAAACGATGACGAGCTGACGATGTCCTTATAAATACCATAAAGAAATTGTTGTCCTTGTCCTTGTGCCGGCAACAAGCTGCAGTCGGCAGTCGGCAGTCAGCAATCGTCGTCAGCAGCCGCAGTAATGCCAGTGGCCAGGCAGTGACAGGAAGCCCTACGAAATGTTATTTATTGGAATTGTGTAATAAATATAACCAAAAGTGCACAAGACATGCACGAGATGCAGCAGGCAGTCGACAGTAGACAGCAGGACAACAAACTTCCGTTTTGCCCCTCGCCACAGTTCTAAGTTCGACATTGTCAGAGAGTCGGGCAAATGTTGCCCCCAATAATTGTATCTCTATTCAGGTACCTTTACCTATATCGATAAAGGTTTGTTTCTATGCAAATCTTTCGATAATACCCGTGTTTATTTCCAGCAAGAACCGTTTCGAGCTGGGGATTCCAATATTTTGCTTACCAGTAGCAAAATCCATTTTAAAATAGCTTTAAAGCTTTGGCTTTTGCGTTGAATAAAAATAATAATGATTGAATAGTTCTACTGTAAACGAATGAAATTTGATAAACATTCGCCGATGTGAAACACCTTCGATTCGATTCAAAAAAGTTTTTTGGATTAATACGCATGATTTCTGGAAGTTTGTTCTTAGAGACTCGGCTATTTATAACTTGTCATCTACATTCGAGCTATATAATCTAGATTCTCGAGCTGATCGCTTATTTGGCCCAGTGCTACACCAAGTGCTCAAGCCCTCACAATTTATGTCAGCCAACCGACATGGACTCTTGCACTCACGAGCAACTGAAACAACCAAGAAAACACTTAGCTAAACCGACCAAGTGCCCTTTCACTTAGTCCTCCGCCTCCCAGCTGTAAGCTCTATTCGAGATTCTCAGGTTGACAAAACGGAAACGGGTCCTTTCAGCACCGACGCTTTGACTTTGGCTCGCACGGCAAGTGGCAAGTGGCAAGTCGCAAGTGGCAAGTGACAGGCGCACGTATGCAGCAGGACACATCCAGTCCACACTTGGCTATCGGTAGTCACAACTGCAGACTTCTACTGTAGCGGGTGTGTATATGTGTGTGTGCGTGTGTGTGTGCGTGTGTGTGTATGTATGTGTAGTGCATGATACCGCTGGGACGCTTGGGTACGATTCGTGCGGGCTTTGGGCTCTTGGCTTTGTACCGAAATTTCCCATCGATTTGATTTATATGCAAAATATTTAAATTTTATTGCCAGTTTGCATATGGGCCATGTGCCTGGGCTTAAGTGAGATCGATAGTTGAAGGTCTGCTCAATGCAACACACACACGCACACACAGTGTGTGTAAGAGGTCGTTTAAAGACAACTATCAAAGCAGCTGAGCCAAAGTGTTGGCCATGCCCATAAATTAGGCAGTTTTTGCCATTCGAAATCGAAATTTAAGCATAGACCATGGCCAGGGAAAGTGTTGTCCAGCCCCGTGTACACCTGTGTGTTACGGTTGTTTATGTACCCCATGTGGCTTATTTTGTTTATGGTGTCATTGGCGGGCATCAGTCTGCAGTCTCTTATAAGTTTGCCAAAATAAATTTTCTATATTCATATACTCAAGAGCAATTGGAAAATGCGATGTGGATTAGGACGAAGCAAAGTGAGAACATAACTTGGCGACCCGACTTCGAATACAAGGAATCTGTGTTATACAAAATTATGAAAATGATATTTTTATGACTAGATGGCATGGTGGGAATGTCTACTGCTTCTCACGCCGCGTGGGCTTATTACGCCCACGTGAAAAACTGAACTTTATAATTTGTAATCCAATCTAATGCGACTGCATTCGTTGACTTTTAAAAGAGAAAGCTTGAAGCCACGCCTAAATTAAAAGCGGCAAATAAGCATATATGCAAGACACGATATTTTCATTCGCAACGGCGTCATTTTTAACACAGCTCTTGCTCATTCTGGCTATGTCATTAAGCTGATCAAATGTAATTGCATATCCGGGCCCATATCCGCAGATAGCTTTGTGATCTTGCCTCTGGAATTCAAGTAATGGCAAACATATTCATGTCCTTTGATATTGGATACAAGTCTTGCCGTCCCTTGTCCAATGCTCTCGTTCGTCCACCGTTCTTGCCACTTGCATTGTGACCGTTCCGTCAAGCAAAAGTTGATTTTCGTTACAAGCACTTTCATCAGCCTCTTCTCTTCAATTAGTTTAGCCAGCACAGCACAGCATCTGTGCGAGTTCGCAATAACTATTTTTTCAGGCTCGCTTTTTGCGTTGTAGTTAGTTTTAGTCACCTTTTCTCTTGTTGGTGCTGCCTTCCTGCGGCAGACAGAAGCTCTCAAAGGAGCTGTATTCTACGGCCTCTGTGCACTTCACCCTTTCTATTTGTTGATCTGGTAAATTCATTCCGCTATCTCGTCGCATGTATTCACTTTTTCATAATTTACTCATGGGCCTCTCTTGCTGGTGTGATTCGCGCCAACTGCAGACAGATGTACTACGCACGCGAGCATGTACTAAATAGCAAAAAAATATTAAATTCTTATTAAACTGTAGTTTTCTAATTTGAATTAAACCAAATGGACTGCTTGGGGCCTGTCAAACAATATAGTACTATGTACTAAGAGCATTGTAGTTGACGAAACAAAAGAACAATATTATTATTATTGTTGGCCCGCATTCATTTTGGTTTTCTTTGTTGTATTTTAACATATTATTTTGGCTACTTCATTGTGAATAAAAACAAATTAGTTAAACAAGCATTTGAGCTGGAATATGTTACCTTAGCCACGCAGTTTGCAAAGCCCACTCACAGAGCTGCATTGTTTCTGCTGTTTTTCATTCAAAAGTGCTGGTCGAATATTCCAAAAACTCATCGTCAAACAGAACTTCTGTTTATAAGATCTTACGGCTGTGTGATGCTCTCTGTTCAGCCAGTATACAGATATATGGACTTTATTCTGTCAGATATCTGGCACATGTGACATTGTGAGGCAATTTGGCTGCTAGCTGCCATTTAATGGATTAAGTGGAGCATTGATGATGTCAAGCCATGAACAAGGATCAGCTGCAACGCCTGCTCATCCGCCGCCCACAAATGGAAATAAGATGGCGATGGCGGCTGCGCCTGCTCGGGCGCATTGCCAAGACTGTTAGCTGAGTTCCTCCTTGAACTTTTTGGATGCGAAATCGCTGACTGAAACTTTGCTCATTTTTCATTACCCAGACGCCCCCAAGTGGGCGTGTCAGAATTATGCTGATTGTTGATTGCCGGCCAAGGAAATAATTAAGCGCAGCAGCGACAACAGCAGCATCAACAAGCCCGCGACCTGCGTCTCGCAGCAGGACGACAATCTTGCCACTTGGCGCCCAGTCAAAAATATGCATGCGGCAACAAAAAGCTTCAGCCAAATTGTCAACAGCAATGCATCCTTGTGTTGCACTGTGTTACACTGAGCTTGCTCTGCTTTTTGCTGCTCCGGCTACAGTTGGTTTTTGGTCCTGGCTCTGGTCTTTCGCTTGCTCTTACTCTTGGTCCTGGTCTTAATCTAATTAGCAAGCTACTCGGCCAAGTTTTGATTTACATTTCTCGGCTCGATTGCAGCGAGTTTGTTGCACAAATTAGTCCTTGTTTTTGTCAGTGCCACTTCGCCCACTTGGCTCCGATCCGGAAGACACCGAACCCCATAAGTCACACAGTGACAACAATTTTACATATTTTTCTTTTTTTTCACATATGTTTGTCTTTCGAGTTTAAGTGGGAGTTCACACACAAGCATCCTTCCACCTGCCTATTGCTTCTTCTGACTTTAGGCCCCACTGCGGGAAATGCATTTTTGAATTACTTCGGTGTATAGAATTTTCTGCCAGTAAATGTTGTAAATATCGTACATGCATTGACAGTTTCTCCATTTCCTATATTGAATTATATTAAATCTGTTTAGACAGACTTTCAACTGCAATTTAGCATTCAATTCGAATACTATTTTGTTTTTTTTTTAAAGCCAAAGGGGCTCACTGAATTATTAATTTTAGTTTGAATTTAGTTCCCTTTGAATTCGTTTTATGTAAATTCCAATATGGATTTTAAAATTAACCGTAGGTGTACAAAAAAAAAAAAATGGCTCAAAGCTGAAATTGACACTGTTCACAGAAAGCTGAAAATGTAATTTATTTTCATGTTCTGATTTTGCAAAGAGATCCATAAAAGATAGTAATCCAATAGCAACCTATTGCTTTAAACGTAACTCAATCAAATATCATAAACCAATAGCTTCAATTATTTTCCAGTATCGGATGTAACAGATGGGAGCTTCGTGTTGGGTTTGACTACAATGTTGCTAGCTGTGAGTGTTGGAGTGTCCCGCGGCGTCATGAAAACGCAATTGGAATCGCAGTTTGATTTCAGTTTGGTAAACGTCAACTAATTTCCGCACAATCGACGCCAAATCCGAGCGAACATCAAATCGAAACGACAAAACAGCACTTGAAATTAAATCGATCAATGGCTGGGATGCATGGCATGGAATTGAATGGGTAGTCCCATCCAGCAAGCTCAACGGTTACCCAACGGCAACCACGTTCTCTGTGCGGGGGCAGCGGCTGTCAGCATTATTACGGCTGGATGACATTTTATCGCATTTCATTAGCAGTCAGAGGCTACGAATCCAATTCCATTTTACATTTCGTCGCACTTCATTTGCAAATTTGCGAGTGCGACGCGACTTGCGTCCGTCCACTTCAATAAAACGTTGAATTTTCTTTTGTGCCCGCCTCCTTTTGTTACCTATTTTTGCCAATCGCAAAGTTCATCAGGTCAGACCATACCCAGCCGACCCAACCAGGCCAGCAGCACCGCCAGCCACGTCCTATGGCATGTTGACAGCAATTTAATGCTCCGGGCTTGACCTAAGTACACCTTCGCCACCAGCTCTGAGCGCCGTGTTAGGCTCTGCTCCCCACAGACCAATGTCATCGCATACCTCTTAAATCCTAATAGCTTTTTATTTATTTATAACAAATTTCGTCGACTCAAAGGTGCTTGTCATTTGTTTGCAATTCGCAAATAGCGCAAATTTCAAAAGTTATAGAATATATCGCTCCTGTCCGCCGCCAACCCACAAGACGTAGAAGCTTTTTATCCTGCATAAATTGAATTGCTAAACTGAATGTTTGTGCGTGTATTTTCTTGTATGTATATGTGTGTGTGTGTGTGTGCGTAAAGCCACTTTTAGAGCTTGGTGATGTAAGAAAACCTCCTGTGAGTTTGGTATGCTTACATAACACATCAAATGTTATCAATAAATGCCTAAGAAATAGCACCTGTTCCGTCAGAAGAACAATACATGCAGATTGATAAACAATTGAAGCTTAGGTAAACAATACAGTATTCAGCGACTTTTTAACAATGCGAGTGCCCTACATATATATATATATGCTTAAAAGATAAAATATCTGTTGGAAAAAAACTATGTTTCGAATATTTCAATATATTGAGCTATTGAATTGTTCTTTGCTGATTTTATTTTCAATGCTCATTTTGGTCTTACATCCTGACTGCAGCTAGTTGTTGAAACACTTCAGTCTGGAATGAATAAAAAAACGTTAAATGATAAGAAATATGCAAGAAGAACAAAAACAATCAGCTTGCAACCTGCCAAAGGCAGCAACAGCAGTTACATGAGAAAGAGAGGCAAGAGAAAAACAAATAGAGACAGAGAGAGAGAGAGAGCTGTCTACCAACTGGCAAGCTAATAAATTACCACAAATAGAGCGAAGGGCTTTTACCTTATTAAAGATAAATACTGCCAAGTTGGGTGTGCAAAGCTGTACTTGAGTCTGTTAAATTACGTTGGGCTTAAAATTTACATATATGAGTTTATGAACGCATATAGGTAGAAAAGACAATAACAGAAGACTGTAACAGAGCAATATAAAAATATTGCACATTAACTTGGCTAGGCAAACATAAACTCTACCTTTGACACTACTGAATTAGAGTAAAGAGCAGAAGAGAAGTCTACAATTCAATTAACAATTCCGTAACTGTTAATGCTTTATTGAAAATATTAAGCCGCTGTCTCTCCTAGTATTATATTTTAATTTTTAGTCACAATATTTAGTTTTATTCAAGAATCAGATAGAAATTTTGGCTATACCTTGAAAGGAAGGGTATATATAGAGGCCACGCTTTGTCAAATAATCAAAGCTTAATGCAGAGGGATGAGCTGTTACATTTAAAAGCTAGAACATAAACGTGAAATGGTTTCTTACTGAATTTAATTTAGATTAAACTAATGTAATTGTCAAAACGTTATAAAACCAGATAGAGAGAGAGATAGAGAGAGAGAGAGAGAGAGAGAGAGAGGGCAAAGGGGCAACTGAACAACGAGGACCCGAGCTAGAATGCCAGGACAGAATACATATATGGTATCATGATATCTGGTAATAATACGTATAATACCAATAAATAATAAACAATAATAATGATTAATTCATGATTATTATTGAAATAATAATGATATAGATAATTTGAATAAAATTTAATAAGATTAACTTTACTGTAGAAATTGTAGCATAATAAAGTTTAAAGATTTCAAATTTTTAAATTTTAAGTAACGCCAGAAAAGAATCACAAAAACCAATCCGTTGGCGCAAGTAAATCAATGGAATGTCATTAATATGCGTGGCATTCCACAATAAAAAAAGGAAGACGGACACAAGCTGTGGACTCACAGACCCAAAGCAGGTTGAGTTCAGTTGCGCCATTGCAGGGAATGGGGCGGCAGACGTGGGGGTGGTTCGAAAACAGCTGCTACCATGCATAGCCCACGCAGAATATGTAACACCCATCAATACACAGACATAAACACACACAGCATATACACATGCATAGGTGTGAGTCAATCTTGCGGGCTGCCAAAGCCAAAAAAAAAAAAAAACTGCTGTGGGGCAAGCTGCACCAGCGGCTGAGCTTTCAGCGACGGAGCTATCCTGGAACCAGGATGCTGGCTGTGGAACGCGGTACAGGTTCTGGTGTGGGCCCTGGTTCTGGTCTGAACGTAAGTTGGGTAGCGGCATTTTATGCGTAAATGCAAATTAAATTTTCACTGAAGAAAAACAAAACGAAACGAAATGAAACGAGGCACAAATCAAGCCCTTGGAAAATTGTTAAGCTGGGGAATGAGTGTTGGGTTAAGGAAAAACTGAGTTGTTTTTACTTATGTTTTGGGATGGGTTTGAGGTTGACTCACGTTCAGCTTCTTCGTCATCCTCTTCAGCTCTCAACTTCTTATTCGCATTTCAGTTGTTGTTGCGCCTCTTCATACTGAATCCATCGAAACTGGAATCAACGGGTATATTAGTTTTGTGCAATTGTATGAAACAGGCAAAAGTATGCATCTCCTTCCACATAAGGCCACTTAAGGCCAGGTCGATTGAGTCATATTTTTTTCAAGTTTTTCCATGAAATCGATAAGGATCGATATTAAAATCTTTTTTTGTGAGACACTAAAATCGTTATGTGGACTGTCGTTGGTAATTACCCCTCCAGAACATTTCCCCAAATTTAAAATATGCCTAGATATGAACATGCTATGGACAGGCTAGGTAAGCCCTGAAAAATGCATTAAGTTCGGACCATATATACCGAAGCTAATCAAGCCCGCATTTCTAATAAAATGGGGCTGTAGAATGTTTGGCGCGGTCAGGGTATCTGGTAGTCAGGCACTCCCTGTGAGAGCACTGTTATTTGTTTTATTTTATTGTTGCTTAAATTTACGCCAAGAGCAATAAAATATTTTAATGGCCACATAAAATGCTGCAGCATTTGAAAATAAAATCATGAACACAGGACTAAACCGTCCGAGCAGGGGGCTGGCGACTTGAGATGGGGCGCTGAAGCCGGGTAGGTCAAACGGGGAACGGGGGGGTCGTACAAATCTGAAACGTGTTTCGGTTTGCTTTGTAGTCCTTGCCGCTATTGTTGTTGTTTTTGTGTGTGTGTGTGTGTGTTTTTTATGGCTTTGATAGCCAAGCGAAAACAATTTGCGAAATGAAAACGCGAAAGCTGCGCGCGATTTACACGCGTTTTGCGCGCGTTTATGTACAAGGCATCGCAGAAAAATCCAACTGCCCGGCCAAACATGAACACATAAACAACAACAATTTGCCAGCGGAACAATGTAACAATTTACTTCTTTTTTTTTAACAATTTACCATTTGAACAATTTAACAATTTAAGTGCAACAAACATTTATTTAGCCGATCACAACAATGGGATGCAATTAAAAAGTTTTACAAGAAATTCAATCAACTCGAACTGGCGACCGAATTGCGGCAAAACCCACCTCACAAGCCCCATAGACCCCACAAGCCCCACAGACCCCACAGACCCTACAGACCCTACAGACCTGGCATTCTGGCATTTCCATCGCCCCATCCACCCCCCTGTCAAGGCACCTTGTAAACACTGAGCCAATTAAACGCTCATTAAGTGCGCATTCAGCGTGCGGAAAGGGCAGCAGCAGCAGCAGCAGCAGCTGAATGGGCCAACGGCGGCGGGGCGGGCAGAAGGTCGAGCCGCTTCACTGTCTCGAGTTAATTTTAAAGCAGCGCTTTCGGCGCGCCCAAATGAAAAGCCGCTGGGTAAATAAAAGCAGCAGCAACAACAAAAACAACAACAGGTAAACTTGTAAAATAAAAAGTTGTAAGTTTTCATTTTTTTTTTTATGCTGCGCCAAATTCTTTGTTTCATACGCGAGTCTTCGTTGCGGAGCCGTCTTTATTACGCGCATGCCTCTTTACCTGCCTCCAGCCTGGGCATGGCCTCTGTCATGCAGGGCAGGGCAGCCAGGCGCGCCCGATTCTTCCTCTTATCGGGGGCAACTGCAAGCATATGAGCCGGAAATGGAAATCGATGGGACAACAAGGCCAATCCCTGGGTACTCCCGACGCCCCAAAGCAACTGTCCTGATTCGCTTGACCGGACCTGACATCTAACCCACAAACAATGTTGCATGTTATTTGAGCTTAAATTCTGTTTAAAGTAGCTTTTCACCCTGAAAGTAGGTAAACATTTGATGTCCCTAGTCAGAATGATCATCGAGAGTTGCTTAAACAGCCCTGTTTCAAAATCAATATTTACTGATACTTATGGATATACGAAAAAATCTCGAAATAAAATAGTAGCTCATTGATATGATATATGTGAATATATCTTTTCTTATCGTTTCCAATATCGCGTTCAATCAATTGTCTGATCTGATACACATATACCCGTTTATCCCATATACAAAGGTACTGGGTATACAAATAATAAATTAGAGCTGGACAAAGCAAATCAAAGCGCAAGTGTGTTCGACTTGGAGACACGCTGTACTATACATCCTGTACATGTACATCATATTCCCAAAGCTGTATACTTAGGACAAGGGATAGGACTGACGTCAGTCAGTCTCTCTATTCAACAAATAAAATATTTAAGATCTGTGCAGGATACAAGAAAACATAATGTATATGAAGATTCTTTGTGAAAATCTAATAAGAGGCTCTACTCGGAAGTTTCCGACTTGGGGATACCCTGAATCCTCTTCCAAAAACAACAACAATACAATCGCAGTTATATTTACTTTATGGGGATATATATTTACTTTATGCATTAGCACAAATACATTACACTCCTTTTACCCATTTTGAATGGGTTCAGGGTAACTGAACGGAAACTCCCGACTAGAGCCTTTCACTTGTTTACTCTATTTTACTTACTTAAAGAAAACATTGCGCGCACGTCCGGAAATTTATTTAAAATATGAATTTGTGATAAAACGGTGTGAGAGAAAATTAAGGCAGTCGATTTTCGGTCGCGTTGCTTTAAAGCTTTAACAACAGTTGCATTTTATTGAATTAATCTGTAGGGCTGGGGCATAATTGGATATTTGATCCGAATCGGCAGGCACCTTACCACACTTGCTTGGTATCACTTACAGTTGCCCAGCAGACACCAGTTAAGTAAAGCAGGCCTTAATGAGATGTTATCAATGAGTTTTTATAGACAGTCGTACATAGAGAGAATTATAATCCTTTGAGCTTTAAACATATGCGCTGATGTACACGCAACGTGCTTAAACCTTTAAGTCTTAATCAAAATTAAATAGTTAGAGGCACAACTTAAATACATTTAATGAACTAAATTGATGTCCTTTTATTAATTTAGGAATCAAAAGAGTTCTTCAAGAAAACTTTGTTGGCTTATCAAGCAGAAAGACCTCCCAGACGAATCCCAAGACAAGTGCTTAACAGAGTCAAGCAAGAGGAGACTTGTATCAAATTTTGATATGAGACGATGCCAGCAATGTCGCAAGAGACTTCTTCCACTACTTTTCAACGGGGTGCTCACGTTGATATACTATGTATGCAACGCTCTCTTCCTGCTCAGTTGAATTCCTGGGCTGGCTTACATGTTCCACTGGATAGACATGCGTGTGCATCCGAGGCACAGTAACACAGTTGAGTTTAAGTAGCTACACACTTCGACTGCTTTGACTGCGATTTTGTCAATTTTCACTGAAATAAAAAGGCTGCTGCTGTCCCGCCCGCTGGCTGCTGGCTGCGCATTGATGCCAGAAATTCGAGCGATGTCTCTGTCAAATGTGTCTGCAACGTGAGCATATTTGCTTGGCACACCCTCTCGGCCCACTTAGACAATCCTCCATCTGCGCTCTAAAATATCAACGCCTTTTTGCTATTTCCCAACTTGAAACACGGCAACTGCTGCCAGGAGACACACACACACACATACAGAGACTCCAGACGGCTAAGGGACAAAAAAATGGGCAAAGATGCGACTTCGTTTTCAATTGCAAGAAATGCAACGCGACGTTGACGACGCCTTGTACCCTGTCCTTGTCAGAATTTTCATCGCTTACTCCAGCTCCAGCTCTAGCTGCAGACAGCCGCTGGGCTACATCAAAGTCAAGTGACGCCCAAAGGTAGTACAGGGACAGGAGCTGGAAAAGAAGGGCTGCTTGCCTTAACTGGCTACAAGCAAACAGGGCGTTGTTGTTGACAAGCCTATCCATCGGCTGATAGATGCCGTCTTCCAAGTGAGCAGTGCGCTAATTAAGGCGGCTGCCATAAAGGTACAGGACACGGGAGGAGCACGCAACGGGCCGGGAATAAAGCAATCAACAAGTAAAGCTGATAGCTCAGGTGTTAAGGGAATGACATCTTTGGAACACAAAGAGCGTCTTGAACTTTTATTATCCAGCAGGAGCAAATAGAAAGTGAATGCCCGTAAGTATTACCCTTATTGCTATCGTATTGAATTACCTTGCACTAGCGAATATTACCCGGCTTTCGCCGCTTTAAGTTAAATTAAGGCGCCCTACCTGTTCCAAACGACATTTTTCATAGGTCTTTAAGGAACTGAAAAAAAGTGGAAAATAAGTTTAAGTAAATGAGAATCCGATTAAAAATAGTTTTCATAGTTAAAGGTAGAATCTCAGCTCCTTCTTAGCGTGCACTTCTATCTGTATCTTTGAATAGTTTTTCCTACTAAACAATTTAATGGGAACTTTAATGCTATTTCTAAATCTTAAAAATACATTTTCTCTCCTTGGAATTTCACTAGACAACAGCTAAAATGCGATAAGGCTAAATGAAGAATATATATTTTCTGTTTGTTCTATAATAAAATTGAGTTTATTTTATTTAGAATTTAATTTTTGAGAGGTGAGCTCAATAGTTTATAGTTTGTTCAAGTAAAGTTAAAACTAGCTGTTTTGTTAATAAGAATAATTATAAATTTGCATAAAAGGTATATTCCTTTATGGAATCAGACTATTTACTTGACATCTCTTTGAATGTTTGTAATTATTATTATTATTATATTCAGTTTCAAGAGATCTTTCAATTTTTAATCCGTTCTCCGTGCACGCCTGGGAGAATGGTACAAGTTTTAGTTAACATGGCCAAGTTCCGGTCTGAGGCTGTTCCTGGGTTAATATATTAGAAAATACTGGAATTAATCGGCTTAAGCTGTTGCGCTTCAATATATGTTAAGAGTTATAAACAAATTAGCTCCAATCCAAGCACTTTTCCAAGGTTATTGGGCGGGAGCGTAGATTTAGTCAGCTAGTCTTGTGTATTAAAGAAAGGACAGCACACAATGGGCGTGATGATTAATAGGCAGAGCGAAGGCCGCAAATTGATGTTGATTACAATTCATCATTAAAATGCAAATAGGCCCAAGCTAAATTGAGCGTAAGAAAAACAATGGGGCTAGGGTTCAGCCGGATAAGCGGTGCGGGGTTATCAGCTGAAGCCTAAACAAACAACTTGCCACAAGTTTCAGTTGATGCCACGCAGAATCAATGCCTCGGGCATGGCCCCCCCGACAATGGCGACCCGTCAACGGGCCTTCAACGCCAATTTGTTTACATGTCCCCGGTGGTCCAATGATCGTATGGTTGCCCGGCCGCCTGGTCTCCTGTCCGTCGGGTTTCGCTGATGGTGTTATTTATTGTTATCAGACACTCGAGCACATAAAACATTTTATCACTTGCCAAAGCGCCGCTTCGTACGATTCAGCTGAAAAAAGCAAAAAAAAAAAATATTATGCCTTATGTCAGAAGCCGGCGACACGACCGGAGACGCTGGCGGGAACAGTAACAATGCGAGGATGGGCAAGGGGTGAGGGCGAGGGCTAGCGCGAGGGCAAGACCTGGTCAGGAACCGGGCAAAACTTCATCACTCAATGCTCAAAGTGTTGAATGCGGCGAGGCGAAAGTTGAAGTTGAACGGAAACGGATATAACGCGTGGTTGCCATCAGCCCGTTCCTGCTTCTGATCCTTCTCCCTCTCCAGCTCCAGCTCCAGCTCCATCGCCAGCTCTTTAGCCATTGCCTCGCTTCAGCTCTTCTATCTTTAAGTAATTTGTGTGCCCTGCGCCGAGCAGCCGGAAACGAGCATTGTGCCAAGGCAAACGGACGATGGCGAACCGGGCAGGATAAAAAAAAGAATCACATTTATGTCTAACAGTTTTCTGTTTTTTTTTTTTTATCCTATTTTTTGTGGCTCGCTTTGCAATGATTAATTAAGCCCGAAGTGAACGCCTAATGGCCAGACCATCCAATGCCCAATATCAGCCACAGTCCGTTGACCTTGGCGGGCCATTGTGCTTGAGTTTGGTCTAATTGGTAATGGGCCACTGATGGCCCGGCTTATGAGAATGAAAAATTAAATTTTCTGCATATACTGCGAATGGAGCAGGACTTCAGTGAAAGTTTACTATGAGAGCTTTGTCCAAAGTCAGTTAAATGAGAATCTTTATTATTTTCAAATACACTTATTAACAGCACTAAGCAGGACAACCAACATCGAGCAATTGTTTTAAGTACACACACGCATCTTTAAGGATTTTGGAAAGTTTTAACAACTCCTTTGCGATTATGAACTGAATCCATCTAGTCGTGTCCTTCTATGTGAGCGCGTAAATCTCGGAAAATAAATAAGCTACATAAACAACATAGGATCGTTGAATTTCCTTCCATTTTTGGTCGATAGGTATCGATTTTGAGACTTGGCTTAATATGTCATAAAGCTCGTACGATAAACATTGAAGTTAACCTAAGGAAAGAAGTGCAGGAAGCGTGTGTGTGTGTGTATAGAAGGGTATCCCCAGTCGGGCACTACAACAAGACAATTCCCAGCCGATTAATGCCATGGCAGTTTTTGGGAATTACTCGCTCAGGAAGTTATTAAAGACCACTTTGAAGCTGCTTCGCTTAAAGGCAACTATCTGAAATAAGCGCTGCGACTATGATTACTATTTAGTAGCTTTTTGGCTCAGCTATGTACATATGCAATTGGGGAACTTGCTGCGCTTGAGACAGGATCGCAGGACATGCTTATGTAACTGTGTGCAGAAGTGTGTCTTGGATTGCCGGTGTGCGGCCAACAATTAACTTTGTTTTCGCTTACATTTTCACGCCATTTTGAAATTTACTTTACAGTTGCAGCGTCGACTGTTGCCTTGGCCGTTGTTGCTTTTATTTATTTGCCATTTGCTGTGGCGCCCTCAAGCGTCGAGCGTTGGTTTTTGTTTGTTTCCGGCTTTGCCCTTGGAGATGGGCGCGGGCCTTCTTTTGAGGTGAGGCACGGCACGGGCCATGAACTCCATTAAAACTATTCACCAACGCGTTGTCGGACTCAATTTATTATAACTTTTTCCAAACACAACAATTACATTGCTCTTTCCGAATAAATTAATTTTCACAACTGCTGCGAATAGCTACTAAGATAATATACATATCGGTGTCAAACGAAAAGATCCTGAATATAAATTTGCGTCAGGAAGCTCGCACGCCAAGTAGCTCGGCCCGAGTCCATCTCTAATTGCCAACGCCGTGCAGCCAAGCAATCTGTGGGAGTGAGAAACGGAGAGAGAGAGAAATAGAGGGGAAGAGAGAGAGGGTAGAGCATGGCAAAGAGCTGAGATGAGCAGTGAATGAAGAGATGCGAAGTGAGGGGCGGCCGCTGGGCTTCGCACCTTTATAGACTTCTTCATCAACGCGCTTCGAAACTTTGCTGCAAGGTGTAACGAAGTTAGCGCCAAGCGAAATGCCCCTCACCGAACCCCGACACGCCCCGAGGCCGACAAACTGCTTTAGCAGCGAGCTGCGATGTTTATACTTAATAGCCGAAGGGGGTGGGCGTCAGACCAAATGGGCGTGGCAGTGCAAAGACTAATTGAGTTATTTGCGCAGCTTAGCTACAAATTACAGCTTCGCGTACATACCACCCCCTACCTCTTCCAAATAAGAAAAGTTCATTTTAGTTACACTAAACTACAAATCAATAGTCTTATGATCCTTAACAACACTAAATTTCCAACAAGCAGAGCTGGGTCTCCGAGCAGAATATGCTTTCAACAAATTTCCCAGATAACAATATCATTAAGATTCGTAAAAGTAAAATCGATTTTTGGCTTTTCTAACACCAAAGCGAAAATCGTTCGAAAATCGAATGTCTAGCGAAACGTCGAGTAAAAATTGTTAACAATGACTATCTGAACTTCGATAAAACGACGTTTTTATTCTTAGCTTGTTCATAATGAAGAAACAGTGGAAATTCCCAAGAACGATAAGGTCAACCAAATACATACAACAAACGTAGCAGAGGAGGCTGTCTGATTGCCTGCATTCCGCTCCGATTACCAGGTGGCCTCCGTCCACTGCATTTATTGTTAGGCGATACACGGTAGATGATTAATGGGAACAAAAACTAAACATAACTTATGATTCAGAGGTCGAGGTCGAGGTCGAGGTCGAGGTCGAGGACTTTGAGCTAGACATTGGCAAAATGCCGCCGAGTGTCCGAATCAGTTGAAGCAGCGATTCGCGCTTGCCTCGCACCTCTTGTATGGAGACGAGCAGCGTGCTGGTGGCATAGCCGCAGCGAGTGACATAGTCGGTCATGTTGTCCACCATGCACATGAGATGGACGCCGGATTCGTAGCCCTTATCAATGCCCTGCTGCAGGCAGCGGCCGCGAGTGAATGTGTAATCATTGGCGGCTAGCGTACGGCGCAGACGCTCCTCGAGCAGACGCGCAAAGCCCAGGTGGCGATCGTCCTCCGAATCGAAATAATAGAACTTGCGATCTGGTCGGGAGACCAGCAACAGCGACCAGTGCGAACCCTCCGCCAGCGGCACGAACACAAACCGTTTGCTACCTAGGTCCAAGCTGCGTGCCAGGCGCCGACGCTCGCGCCCCTCCAGATGCCGTATGCTGTATGCCAGTGCAGGCGTCAGGAAATGTAACTCGGGCTGCATCTTGTATCGGCGGCTCTGCAAATATGCGAAATAGAAGGCGATCAGGCGCTCGTTCAACGCGTGCGGTCCCTGCAGCAGCTGCACATCCGAGTGGCGCAGGGACATCTCCTGGAAGCGCAACGAGACAATCGCGTTATTTGGGTTCTCTCCATCCACTTGACAGGCGCGCAGGTAATCGTCATTGATGCTAGCCTTTGCCACCAGCAGGCGGCACGGCGGTGCCGGTTTCTTCAATTTCTTCTTAGCCTTCGACATCTCGGCCTTATAAAATCCAAGCTCAGAGGGTGCCCAGTGTGGGGTATATTGATGTATTTGTATGTAAGTATGTTTAGGCACTTTAATAACAGTTAAACAACAGCTTTGCGTTATCAAACCTACTTGATTCCTTTTTTTTTGTGGTGTACTCAACCAAAGCCGACTGTGTTTCTTTTACCATAGAATGCAAATATAATAATATAAATAAAGCTAGTCAGAAGTACCCAATTAGAAGATACCCTGAACCCATCGCCAAGATGCTTTGAGAAGCTCCCCCTGTCCCCCTACACATGCATACACAAAACACACTTACACATTTTTAAAATCGAGTTTTAAGGCCAATTATCCACAGTTGCTAGTGGAATTTCCAAAATCGCTGAAATAAATATGTACTCATTAGATCTTTATGTGGCAAACATGAAGCTTGGCTCTCACCCAGCAAGGTTTGATTTGCAACAAGTTTGATATGCTTCTGAAATGAATTTTCAAAAAGATTATCGGAAATGAGTTATAGCCCGAAATTGTACTAGCAAAGCTGGCGACCACCATTTCCAAGAAGTTAGTTGGCCGTCTTCGGCCAACTGCGTTTATTATAACTTGCATACTTATTTTAATTAGCCTAACTCGTATAAAATCGCATGTTGTGTAGTTTTGGCAGACAGATAAAATAATTGAGGGACGGGTGGTTCTTTAAGGTCTTAGGGATTCTACAAATTCTTAAAACATAAATCATGAGATTCCTCTTTTTTTTTGCAGAACAATCTGCTGCTGCTGGGTATATAGGGATCTAGAAGACTTTTAGACAGTTCCTAGTGAAAATATCAATAATCTGCAACTTTTAAGAATTAAATTTAAAACTAGTTTAATTAACAACATAATCATTTTTTGAACAATTTTCAATCCGATTGCTCTGGCTCGAATATGACAATATTCTCACAGTATTCTATGACCATTAGGGGAAAGTTGTGACCCAAAAGAATCGCTGGCACCGCCTCCAGCATTTCGTAGCCCTCCCAAAGGACCAGAAACCACAGTTCCTCCTTGAATGTGAAAGCATCGCAGATTTTTATCAAATCACGTCCGCGCTCCCAGCCATATATAACATCGCCCTTGCTATTCAAACGTACAGCCACTTGAGGTCCGTCCATTATATCTTTTCGGATATTTTGAAAATAGCCTGATTCGTGTGATCAAGGAACTATTTACCTAGACTTCGCAAATCATATGCTCAGTTATTCTTACTTACTTTGTTTACTTTTTTTTCGCTTTTCTAATTCTCAGAGAGCTCTGCTATGCGCTACCGACAATTGTCGACTACTGAAAATATTCTGCTAAACTAACTTTCGCGAGAGCACGCAAAAAAACAAGTTTTTCTCAGAGCCTACTAAATCTAGGATATTTACCCAAACATTTTGTTATCGCACCTATAACGTATACCGATATACCAAACTATATTTCTATATATCCATGTCAATTACCATTCGATATGTAAGCTCAGATAAGCTGAATCAGAACTCCAACCGTTATAAACTGTAGGGCTACATATGTCTCCATCTCCCGATCTTAATGTTTTACTCATATTAGCCGCTAGCTTTGCAACGCGTTGGTAACAAAAATATTGTGGGGCTTGTGCATAGGTTAATAAACGTAAGCGTATTTAATACTAATGGGTAGATAATAAATTTATTTATTCCCCTGCTATCTGACAGCTATTATTTTAACTACAAAACTATTTGTTTATTATATTAGGTAATTACATTAACATATCGATATGTGTAATTTAAAATATCATTATTGTGGTTTTGCATAATTCGAGCGGAAGTACAAACAAATAATTGCATAATAAATAAAATATTTTATTAGAAAATATTGCATATTAATATTGCTTAACAGTAAAAGAAAACAACATGTTTCCAACAAAATAATAGTTTTTTTTCCACATACAAATGCAGTCAGGGGGCGTTTCCAACCCATTTACATATACATATCCATGTATATCCATGCGAACTGCACCGAATTGGACTTTTAATAATCTCCAAGCTATAGACTTAAATTATAAATTATTTAAATGGGGCTAATGTTTTCAAAATTTACTTCTAGCAAGTGGTTTTGCAAAATAATAATAAGATATAAATGAAATTACCCGCTGTTCCCAGAAATTTTTTGTGTAATTCGTGTCAACTTCGGACAGAGACAAAATGGCATAATTTCTCTTGTTACCCTTGCTAACTTTTCTTTTTACAAATTTTAGCCCTAATTGCGCAAAAGAGTATTATGTTTTAATTTAAAATAAGCAGATGATTTTCAAATTAAATTTTAAAAAATTGGTTTTGTCTCCGCATTCACTTACTTCGTGCTCAGTGTGCGGATATATGATAGCATTGTGGTTGACAGAACACACACAACAAAAGAAACATTAAATTAATTTTGTTAACTGCCAATAGTTTTCCCTTTGTTTTGTTTTCAATTTTTCAACATTGCTTTTATCTTTGTGAATAAGTAAAATGTAACAAACAAAAACGACAATGACGTTTGAACCTACGACCTCTTGCTCGCGAGTTCAACGCTCTAACGTCTAAGCCACACATGATTCCCGTCCTAGCTATGTTGTTCTTAATATTTCTCATGCCAAATCTGGCCACAGATTTCTCCCACTTACGACCAAATATATATAGAAATGTTAATACCAAATAACAAAAAACTGTTTTCTAGAAATATTAATTTGTTTATCTGAGCGAATAAGGCAAAATATACTCGCCTTTTCAGAAATTGTTGATTAAATGGACAATGCACAATGCACATATAAGAACAAGAAAGAGGTTCTAGTCGGGAGTTCCCGTGATGACTTGGAAGGTCATATCTCCGCGCGAGCTATTACCCGAGATATTAAAAAAATATTATCGAAAAAGTTTCGATTTTCGCACCGACCCCGATTTAAAAAAAAATCGTGATGATTTGGAAGGTCATATATCCGCGCGGAGTTATGTCGTTTTGGAACGTCATATCTCCGCGAGGAGTTATGTCGTTTTGGAACGTCATATCTTCGCGGGGAGTTATGTCGTTTTGGAACGTCATATCACCGCGCGGGGTTCTGTCCTTTTGGAACGTCATATCTCCGCGCGAGCTATTACCCGAGATATTAAAAAAAAAAAAAACAAGTAAGAGGTTCTGGTCGGGAGCTCCCGACTAGGGGATACCCTGAACCCTCTACTTCCAACATCAAATGCATATATATTCCTTTTTAGAAGCTATATGTAGAAGCTATATGTATAGTCAAAAAACAGGATATTATGGGGTCGGAGATGCTTCCTTCTGCCTGTTACATACATTTGGATTTTGCACAAATACAATATACCCTTATACCCATTTTTAATGGGTTCAGGGTATAAAAAGCAGACACCCTATTTCCGGAGATGCCTTTTCCTTCATGATTTACTATGGAGACATCCCGCACCTAGAATAGTGTGTGAAACTTATGTCAATTACCAAAAAAGAAAACAAATAGTATGTAAGACATGTAAGAGAACTCCAGTCGGAAATGCCCGACACAAAATACAATGCAATACGAGTCCAGAACATATCAATGAGATTCTTGTGATATTTATCGCAAGCTGAAATTTCTAGTTCTAGAGCTGAAGTTCGTATATAAAAAATGTTTGATATTTAATAAATGTGTACATTTTATATGATTGGAAATTAGTAAGCCCCTTTGTGGACAAATAAAATGTACAGGGTATCAGAACAGCATCGCCAGAGAACAGCGCCCCGCCTCAGCGCTGTATGCAGCCCCACAGATAGGCACTCACACATATACACTCACGCACACGCTCACACACACACACACACACACACAGACACTGCGCATGTTAATTACGTTACGAGTCCAGTTCCAGGGGGAAAAAATTGTACGAACATTTTTAATTATGTTGATTTTTCGCTGATTTAATTTCAGGCGCTTGTTTTACCTGGGCATATTCCGTTTTTTCGAAACCAAATAGAATTTAATTTAATCCTTTGAAAAAATAATTTAGGTGTTATCACGCCACACCATCCCGCCCCCAGTCCACAGACTCCAAACCAAATACAAAATACCATATATAAAGCACTTTGGCGAAGAGTTCGTTTCGTGCCATTGCCCAGCGCCTATCCCGTCGCCCGATCCTTGCCCCGTTGTCATTACCGTTTTGGACCTACAATGGAATAGCAAAACTTAAAAAGCTTCCATTCAAATGCCAAAAAAACACACACACACACAGACACACACCACACTCTCTACAACTCAGCCACAAAGACACAGCTTAGAAATGAGCCTGGGTTCCAGTGCCCAATACGCCTTTCATGGCACGTTTTCGTTAATGTTACACCATTTGGTATAATTACATTTTTCTATAGACCAGAGCTCGGATTTCTGGCGCTTTAAACTGCTTAATTAAATTCAAAAAGCTCGGTACGATTATGTTCACTTCAACGGTTGATTTTGCTCTCTTTTTTTTTTTTTTTTAAAAAGTCTAAACTGATTGGAAAAATTGTGGAAATAGACATAAAAGTCATGTTCATGAGATTATAAGAACTATAGATATAGGCTAGGTCTAGGTTTACTGCAGATATTTGAGGATAATTGTGAAGCTAGTAGCTGCTAAGCTTGGTGAAGATATTTCGTTAAGCTGAAAGTCATTTTTCAACCGAGAGCTATGTTATATTTGGCTCATATATAGTGTGTGGAGCATGGTAGAGCTTACACATGGCAAGTCTTGAAAAACGAAAAAGCGGTTATAAAAGAATGCACCCGATAACAGCTACAGAATACAATGGTTAGCTGTTGATAAGATTCAGCTTATGTTTGGGAACCATAAAGAAACTGATAAATTGCGGATCGAATTTTCGACTGATCATTTCTGTGGCAGCCATATGATAAAGTAATCTGATCAGGACAGACGCTATATGGCTCTTATGGGACCGGAGATGTGCCCTTCCCTTATAATAAAGGCTTCTTCAAGTTGATAAATACACATAGATTGGTCAGTTTATTGGTTTACAGATTATTGTTATACATAATTGTTATACATAATTCAGTTATAATAAATACAAACATATATTATTTCCAGCATTATCGTGTAACATTCAAATATATAAAAAGCTGACATCGGGGACTAAAACGCTTGCATTGCACTCGCCGGCGCTTGATTATAATGTTTGTACTTGAGATTAGATAAGTAGCTAGCCTAACTGTGAAATCATTTACACACATTGATTAAAGCTCTAGATTGTCCTAAATTTAAAGACACCCTGACTGGGTAGCCCGAACCCAAACCCAAAAAAACCTGCAAGCCTATCGAACAAATCATTTACCGTAAACTTATCACTGGAACGGAGCGTCCTAACTTATCACAAATGAATTGTCTATAGAGTAAAAATAGAAGCATAAACATAAAACATAAACATACAATTCTACAATAACATATGTTATATTAATAATTATATTAAAAAAAAAAAAAATGTTTACGTTGTGCTCTAGTTTTAGGTCGTGGTCTCCTCGTAGCCACAATGCATATAGCCCGTTGCAAGCGAACCGCGAAATGCGAAAAAGTTTCGATTTTCGCACAGACCTCGATTTTGAAAACAAATCGTGATGATTTGGAAGGTCATATCTCCGCGTGGAGTTATGTCGTTTTGGAACGTCATATCTCCGCGCGGAGTTATGTCGTTTTGGAACGTCATATTTCCGCGGGGAGTTATGTCGTTTTGGAACGTCATATCTCCGCGGGGAGTTATGTCGTTTTGGAGCGTCATATCTCCGCGGGGAGTTATGTCGTTTTGGAACGTCATATCTCCGCGGGGAGTTATGTCGTTTTGGAACGTCATATCTCCGCGGGGAGTTATGTCGTTTTGGAACGTCATAACTCCGCGCGGAGTTATGTAGTTTTGGAACATCATATCTCCCCGCGAGCTATTACCCGAGATATTAAAAAAATATTATCGAAAAAGTTTCGCTTTTCGCACCGACCTCGATTTTGAAAACAAATCCTGATGATTTGGAAGGTCATATCTCCGCGCGGAGTTATGTCGTTTTGAAACGTCATATCTCCGCGCGGAGTTATGTCGTTTTGGAACGTCATATCTCCGCGCGGAGTTATGTCGTGTTGGAACGTCATATCTCCGCGTGGAGTTATGTCGTTTTGGAACGTCATAACTCCGCGCGGAGTTATGTCGTTTTGGAACGTCATAACTCCGCGCGGAGTTATGTCGTTTTGGAACATCATATCTCCCCGCGAGCTATTACCCGAGATATTAAAAAAATATTACCGAAAAAGTTTCGCTTTTCGCACCGACCTCTATTTCGAAAAAAGGCGTAATGTAACCCCTTGCCATTTTGTCGATTTGGGTCAAAATTTTAAATTTCCTATTTTTGATGCCAATCGATAGAACTGATCCTTACGAGCTAAAAATGGTATAAAATTCCAAACTCTGACATTATTTGACGGATATATTCCGAAAAATCATCAAAAAGGTTGAATTTACGAACGAATCGATTTTTTGTCAACCACATTTTTCAACCCATCGATGATTAATTTGCTTGAATGCCAATTGATGGTAGTGATCCGTACGCATTCGAAAGGTATAACATTTTAAAATCAGACATTATTTATGACGTTCCAAAACAAAATAGCTCCGCGCGGAGATATAACGTTCCAAAAGGACATAACTCCGCGCGGTGATATGACGTTCCAAAACGACATAACTCCGCGCGGAGATATGACGTTCCAAAACAACATAACTCCGCGCGGAGATATGACGTTCCAACACGACATAATTCCGCGCGGAGATATGACGTTCCAAAACGACAAAGCTCCGCGCGGAGATATGACCTTCCAAATAATCAAGATTTTTTTTTTCAAAATCGAGGTCGGTGCGAAATCGAAACTTTTTCGATGATTTTATTTAATATCTCGGGTAAATAATGTCTGATTTTAAAATGTTATACCTTTTTGAATGCGTACGGACCACTACCATCAATTGGCATTCAAACAAATTAATCATCGATGGGTTGAAAAATGTTGTTGACAAAAAACCGATTCGTTCGTAAATTCAACCTTTTTGATTATTTTTCGGAATATTTCCGTCAAATAATGTCCGATTTTGCAATTTCATACAATTTTTGACTCGTAAGGATCAGTTCTATCGATTGGCATCAAAAATAGGAAATTCAAAATGTTGACCCAAATCGACAAAATGGCAAGGGGTTACATTACGCCTTTTTTCGAAATAGAGGTCGGTGCGATAGTCGAAACTTTTTCGATAATTTTTTTTTAATATCTCGGGTAATAGCTCGCGGGGAGATATGACGTTCCAAAACGACATAACTCCCCGCGGAGATATGACGTTCCAAAACGACATAACTCCGCGCGGATATATGACATTCCAAATTATCACGATTTTTTTTTTAAATCGATGATTTTATTTTAATATCTCGGGTAAATAATTTCTGATTTTAAAAAGTTATACCTCTTTAAATGCGTACGGATCCCTACCATCAATTGGCATACAAGCAAATTAATCGTCGCTTTGTTAAAAAAAATGTTCTTGACAAGAAACCGATTCGTTCGTAATTCAAACTTTTTTATGATTTTTTGGAATATTTCCGTCAAATAATGTCCGATTTTGCAATTTCATACAATTTTTGACTCGTAAGGATCAGTTCTATCGATTGGCATCAAAAATAGGAAATTCAAAATTTTGACCAAAATCGACAAAATGGCAAGGGGTTACATCACGCCTTTTTTCGAAATAGAGGTCGGTGCGAAATCGAAACTTTTTCGATTATTTTTTTTTTAATATCTCGGGTAAATATTCAATAATTACACGAAACTTCGGATTGCAAATTAGAATTTAAGTTAATTAAAAATGCATTTTTCGACCACTTTTGAACTTTTGAAAATGTTTAATTCAATTTTGGCTTGATTAATAACATGCTTCATTCTATCTCGATCACGCAGCCCGGCATTTCGTATTGCCCGCAGACCAATCCACTGGATCCATTGCTGACGGTAAAGGAATGCATCCTGCTATATGGCCAGCTGCGTGGCATCAAGCAGCTGGATCGCCTGCTGGAGCGCATACTGGACACTTACGAGCTGCGCAGCTATCGGGACGTGCAGGTGAAAAAGCTTAGTGGCGGCAATCGGCGCAAGCTAACGGTGGCCATCAGCTGCTGCGGATACACGCCGATTGTATTGATGGATGAGCCGACGAGCGATATGGATCCGGTGACCCGCTCCTTTGTCTATCTCACCATTGAGCAGCTGCTGTCGGCGCGTCGTGCCGTGCTGCTAACTTCGCACTCCATTTCGGAGATTGAGCACCTGTGTCAGCGCGTCGCTGTGCTCAAGGACGGCCAAATCGTGGCCAACAATAGTCCGGCAGAGCTGAAGGCCCAGCATGGTGGCTATTATGCCATCAACTGCTTCTGTGCGCCTATTCAACAGGCAGCGCTGGCCAAGATGCTAATCCAACGGCTGCCCGGCGCATCTGAGCTGCAACATTATGCGCATAGTCTGCGTTTTCTGGTCAAGGTGCGACAGGCCAGCAGCTCGGAAGCGATTGCCAAGCAGCCGACGCTTGCCGAGCTCTTTGAGGCGGTGCGTGTAATGTCCGCCAGTCTGGAGTTGCCGGCGCACTTTGCGATCAGCCGTTGCCGCTTCGAGGCGGTCTTTGAGCGCATCCTGGACAACTGCGAGGCAACCTCAAATGGGGGCTCCGATCTGCCCACCAAGTCAGCGGCGGTCAGCGGTTCGCTTGCAACGGGCTATGTGCATTGTGGCTACGAGGAGACCACGACCTAAAACTAGAGCACAACGTAAACATTTTTTTTTTTTTTTAATATAATTATTAATATAACATATGTTATTGTAGAATTGTATGTTTATGTTTTATGTTTATGCTTCTATTTTTACTCTATAGACAATTCATTTGTGATAAGTTAGGACGCTCCGTTCCAGTGATAAGTTTACGGTAAATGATTTGTTCGATAGGCTTGCAGGTTTTTTTGGGTTTGGGTTCGGGCTACCCAGTCAGGGTGTCTTTAAATTTAGGACAATCTAGAGCTTTAATCAATGTGTGTAAATGATTTCACAGTTAGGCTAGCTACTTATCTAATCTCAAGTACAAACATTATAATCAAGCGCCGGCGAGTGCAATGCAAGCGTTTTAGTCCCCGATGTCAGCTTTTTATATATTTGAATGTTACACGATAATGCTGGAAATAATATATGTTTGTATTTATTATAACTGAATTATGTATAACAATTATGTATAACAATTATGTATAACAATAATCTGTAAACCAATAAACTGACCAATCTATGTGTATTTATCAACTTGAAGAAGCCTTTATTATAAGGGAAGGGCACATCTCCGGTCCCATAAGAGCTATATAGCGTCTGTTCATAAGTCAGTTTTACAGCATCGTCATGGTAATATGTCGCGGGGAGATATGACGTTAAAAAACGACATAACTCCGCGCG